GGAGGAGAAGGGATTCCAGTGTGGCAATCCCCCTTGGGGGGTGATTTCTCACCTTGTCTCTTTCTGTCTCTCTGGTGAGTGCATGCGCCCTATAGCAAAAATCTCTCAAAAAAACAAACGAACAAAAACAAAAACAAAAAAAAACAGATAAACTTTACCCCCCCCAAAAAAAAAAAGCACTTTGGTGCTAAGAACACATTAAAGCTTGGGAAAAGGATTCCGGGAGGAGGCATCACTCAGGCCAAGTCTCAGTCACAACACCGGGAGAAGGGCAGTCCTGCTCCATGCATGATCTCTGAGCCACCAGGACCCACTCAGGGAAACACCAGCCCATGGGGTTCTGGAATGGCTGGCAGGCCATGGGGCTGGCCAGACCTATCAGAAGCCATCTCTTGCCTGTCATGCCAAGAAGCTGGGGCTTCTCCTGGAAGAGCGGGAATCTTGAAGGGAGAAGCTGAGACCTGGCCAGGGCTGCAGCTCTCCAGCACACCCCATGGCACTGAGGAAGGTGGAGGAAGGAATGGGCACACTGGCACCAATCCAAAACCGGAGGTGGCGGGGACCTGGAATCCATGGAGGGTGATACAGATAGGAATGCGGGAGGGGGTCACGACCAGATGTGAGGTCCGACTACACCAGTGGGGTGAAGAGGAGCGATCTCATGTGGGCTGCTGCCATCGGACAGGAGGAACTGCAGGTGAGAAGCAGGGTTGGGGTAGGAGAGGAAGGTGTGACTCTGGGGACGATGGCAGGTTCAAATCTCTAGCTCTACGAAGGGACTTCAAAGAGTTTGTGAAAAACTGAAATTAAAGCAAGAGTTTATTTGAGTGTAAACTTTTGAAATCTATCCATGGTTGCTTCACAATACTCACTTCCCATGAGCCTTTTGAAGACCTACCCTCATCTGTCCCTGAACAAGTCAACTCAGGTTTCTGAATTCCATTTGCCTCACTCGTTAAATAGGCGTCATATCTATCTTAGAAGATTATTTTAGCCATGAAATAAAGCATTTTATACACAGCGCTATCACATTGCCCAGCACAAGGTAGGTACTCTAGAAGAGGCAGTTTGGGCCAGGATATGGCATGGTGGTTAAGGAACTAGACTCCCACATGGCCAACCATGTTTGAGTCCTGGCCAACCATGGTTTGAGTCCTGAACCTACTGGCTTGCCTTCTCACTTTCCCTCACTCTCTGGTTCTCTCTGGTGGGCACATGCGTCCTATAACAAATTACAATAATATTCATTCATTTAATTGTTTAAGAATTCTTTTAAAAAACAAGAGGCAGTTCTGGATAGTGTAGAAGTATGCACAGTAGGCCGTATCTCTACACCAGAGAAAGGCCTCATTCACTAAGGTAGGGATTTCAAGGAAATGTCTAGAAATTAAAGGAGGATGTGTGTGGTTCTCCTGTGTCACCGTTTCATCCTTTTATAGCACAGCCCCTCACTTCCTCAGGCCTGTGAGCAGTTATGAGAATGAGTGGAGGGCACAGAGCTCCTGCCATCCCTGGGCAAACAACTCAAAGCCCAGGCCTTTGCCCAAAGAAGGACAATTCTCCAGGACAAGTCCAACGTTGGCTCATGTCAACTGCGTGCAAACATAGTATCTGTAAACCCCCAACGGCCAGGCCAGCCTGATAACTGTTTGGGGTTTTTCACTTCCTGTGTCAGAGTGTCGAACCTCTAACCATGACTGTGAAGCAGACCAAGACGACCACCCCACTGTTCTCGCAGCTCAACTAAGAAACTGCTCTAGGGATTTTCCACTGAAGATCAAGTCCAGAACAAGGTGGAAGTCCAGACCCAGCTTAAGCAAGTGCCTTGCATTTTCTATAATCAGACTACCTTGAATTTTATGCAAAAGCAAGAGTCAAAAAACAAGACAAAATAAAACAAAAAAACCCAATAGCTTCCATGGACACAGGAACAAAATTGTATTTCTTTCTTTTTTTTTTTGGAAAGGTTTTTGCTATAGGGCGCGTGTGCTCACCAGACAGAGAGAGAGAGACAGAGAGATAGAAAGCAAGAAATCACCCCCCGGGGGGGATGGCCACGCTGCAATCCCTTCTCCTCCATTCTCCTCTCAGGATCTCGGGCACACATGCACACGCTCCCAGCGTGAGTTTAAGCCACCGGGTCCAGGACTTGAACCGCGGTCGACTACATGGGAGTCCAGTGACATAGCCATTACCCTAACTGCTGGTCCCACAAAACCATATTTCTTAATCAGGATTATTCAGCTGAATCCACTTCTTATGCCTGGGACACTTGGTTTTGAAGCAGTAATTCACATTTGCTTCTTCAACTAAAAAAAGAAAATCAGAAATTTTTGAAAACAAGAAACAGAAGTATCTGGAAATGTTTCATCTGTGCCATGTCCCTTAAAGCCGGATTCCCCAAATATTTCCACGGCCTAAGTGCCAGAGATGGTCAGGAAACAAGAGCGGCCTTGTTGCCTGAATTGCCACTGTCTTGCTCCCATTTTCCTCTGTGGTCTGACCTGCAGGCCTCTACCCTGTCAAGGCGAAGTTCCAAGTTCTTTCTGTCCTAGCTAGTACTGAGCCCTGTAGTGTACACAGGGCTTAGAGACTGGCATTATACAAATTGCCCTAATAGATGTATATTAGAGGGTGGCTCTAACCTACCTGACATGTGCAGATCCGATGAAAACAAAGAAGTGAGCTACCCCATATACACCTTCCATCAGACAGAAAGGAAACAGAACACAGCGGCACTCTGCTTGAGGCCAAAGAAACCAGGCTACAACTTAAATTTGTTTATTTAACTTTATGTCTTTGTATTTTTTTACTATTTTATTATTTTTATTTTGTTATTATTTTTAACTTGACCATAGAGAGCAAGCTACCAGGCCCAGGAATCAAACCTTGGTCAACCATGTGGAAAGCCAGCACTCTAACCACCATGACATCTGCTGGGCTCCAATTATTACTATTTTTAAAAGTTGCTATAGGGCATGTACACGCGTGAGAGAGAGAGAAAGGGAAAGTGAGAAAGCGAACCGCCAGGTCCAGGACTCAAACCACAGTCGGTCATGTGGGAGTCCAGCACCTCATTCATCACACCACCTGCTAACCAGCACCTCATTCATCACACCACCTGCTAACCCCAATAAAATTAATGTTAAAAAGGACCACCTTCAGCCAACAGCTAGCTGGCATGGAGGTTAAGGCACTGTATCCCACATGGCCTGCTTTGCAGTTCGACGAGAATCACAATGGGTGTGTGTATGTGTGCCCAAAATCCCAAGAGGAGAATGGAGGAGAAGGGATTGTGGTGTAGCCATCACCTCTTGGGGGTGATTTCTCATTTTCCCTCTCTCTCTCTGTTGAGTGAATGTGCCCTATAGTAAAAAATAACTAGAAAAGAAGAGGAAAGGAAAGAAGAGAAAAAAAAAGAAAGAAAAAAAAAAGAAAAAAATGACCACCTTGGGCAGCCTAAAGAATGCTATCAGGGGACCAGCAGTTAGTGTAATGGCTGTGTCGCTGGACTCCCACATAGTTGACTGTGGTTTGAGTCCCGGACCCGGTGGCTTAAACTCACACAGGGTCTGTGTGCGTGTGTGCTCAAGATCCCGAGAGGAGAATGGAGAAGGGATTGTGGCCTGGCCATCCCCCCTGGGGGGTGATTTCTCATTTTCTGTCTCTCTCTGTCTTTCTGGCGACTGCACGTGCCCTATAGCAAAAACCTCTCCAAAAAAAGACAAAAATGCTATCAGATGTCCCATCTGAGTCAACAGACGAACGGCCTGATAAAAATGGTTTTCCAGAAAGGAGTTCTACATTCTATTCATAGGTCTTTGAAGGTAGAATTAAAATTGTTGTACATTTCTCCTACCCAGGATCATACCAGTTTTTTTTTTTCTTTTTTACATGTAACGTTCTTTCCAACCCTGCCTAGACTACGAGGGGGGTTTGGGATGTTTTCGGGTTGCTTCCCAGTTCTCCCCTTTTAACAGTTGTAATATCGTGGCATCTTATTTTAATCCTCCTTTTTCACCAATAAAACCTCCACTTGCAAGGATAGGCTATGGGTTTTCTTAGAAGAGTAAGGAGTGAGCAGTCTTCCTGGGATTGTTTCGGGCGCGTGGAAGAACTGCTGATGGGCAAAACATGCATTTGTGTTTGCTTTGAGCTCAGGGACTGTTCGGGCGGCCGGGGAGGGTAGGCGGACAGGATGGTGAGCCTTGGTGAACTCCTCCCCAGATCGGTTTGTCAACACCAGGCCTCGGAACTATTCCTGATGGCAATTAAGGAGCGGCCATCGCATGCTTCCAGACCAAACTGGCAGCGTCTGGCCTTTGCTGACACAAAGCCTCCAAGCCTCGGAAGGACTGCGCCCATCTAAACATGAAAGCGTTATTACTCCCACAAACATCCTGCAGCTCCCCGCCCCCCATTCATCCACTCCCGCCATCCTCGCCTTGAACGTGGACACAATAATTCCAGACTGCCACAGCTCTCGTCTCACACGAAATTAACCCATAGCAGAAAGAAACCAGCGACCTAGCCGGGCGCCACAGCCGCTGAGCAGCAGGTACTTGGTCGCCCCCAGGAAAAACCAACACGTGCGGGGCCCTTTATTCGGCGGGTCTGGGCGCGCACTCGCCTCTCCCAGGCGCGCACTCCAACACCACACATACAGCTGGGACTCAGTTTCCTCTCCCCGCAGAGCAACCTGACTGCTCGCCAGCTGCCCCGCGTTGTTAGCAACCCCGGAACACGCGCCTCCGCCAGTCTCCGCGCCACACGCACGTGGGGAGGCGAGTCCAGGTGGTGCCAGGAGGCAGGAGGGCAGCGCAGAGGCGGGGAGTGGAGAAGGCCAGGGGCGAGGAAGGAGGGCGCTCGGAGTGGGATCTGGGTGCCAGGTCCCCGGGCGCGGCAGATGCAGGGTAGGGTTCTGGGGCGCGGAGAGGGCTGTTTGGAAAGACAGCGGGAAGGAACCGAGAGGGGGCTGGAGGGCAGGAGGGGGCGCTCACCCAGGGTTTTGACGGCGATCTGCCTGGTGAGGGGCGGCGGCAGGTTGATGCACACCAAGTCCACGTCCTGGTGCAGCAGCACCTCGTCGATGCGGCTGGTGTAGAAGGGGACGTTCATCTCCTTGGCCAGCTCCTCCGCTTCCTCCTGCGTGCGGCCCCACAGCGCCTTCACCGCGAAGCCCTCGTCTTTCAGCAGCGGGATGATGACACGGGCCGTGAGGCTGGTGCCGAACACGCCCACCCCGGGAAGCATGGCTGCTCAGGTCCGCCTGGTTCTGCTCCGCCCGGATCTCCAGCCGAACACACGCACAAGCACGCCTCTAGCCAGTCCTGCACCGGCTCCCCTAGCCCCACACGCC